TGAACATCACCTTGCTCTACGATCTGTCAGTCTCTGAGTCAGACTAACGTAACATATCTGATTTTTTACCACACACTTGTACATATGACTAAAATCTTAATACATTTCGTGTAGACACGCGTAGTAAATTCGTAATTGTAATTAACATTATTTCTTCAATACGGGGTCGGTCTATTGAATCGACCCCGTACACGGATAACCGACCTGGTAAGAGTCCCTTAAGGTTCAGGCAGAACTATTGGCCAGAGGGCGGACAACCAGACAGCAAAACGTGCCGCGTATGCTACTAATCTGAACTGAATCAGAGGATTAACTGTCACACTTTTATGTTCTCACCACTGAAAATAGTTCCCGCATCCCAACCACTAGCCCATGACCATTCAGTCGTTTATCACACTCGAAACCAACAACTAGTGTTTGTGGTAAGTAAGTAAGGTACACTCGATTGTTTCTTTATTTTTACTCTCGTTAACAGTATTGGTTATAGTGGTTAATGTATCTACTTTTGTTATTTTTTGATTATATATCTATGCTCAGAAGAAAGGTGTATTTAATTATCTATGCTCAGAAGAAAGGTGTGTTTAATTAGCTATGCTCAGAAGAAAGGTATATTTAATTATCTATGCTCAGAAGAAAGGTGTGTTTAATTATCTATGCTCAGAAGAAAGGTGTGTTTAATTATCTATGCTCAGAAGAAAGGTGTATTTAATTATCTATGCTCAGAAGAAAGGTGTGTTTAATTATCTATGCTCAGAAGAAAGGTGTATTTAATTATCTATGCTCAGAAGAAAGGTGTGTTTAATTATCTATGCTCAGAAGAAACGTATATTTGATTATTTGTGCTCAGAAGAAAGGTATATCTAATTATTTATGCTCCGTACCAAGTTCCTCTCTAAGTAAATAGCTTGCTCTAATCAGAAATTGATATTTACTAAAATTAATGATGGTATCGATAACTCATTAGCTTTTAAAACTCATTTTTCTAAAATAGTTATGCACCAAATTGGTTGTAGGTCAATAACTTTGCTGGTTACAAGGCAGGTACTTTTTAAAGCTGAATTCATCTGGTATATTTTACTATATTTTCCCCACTCATCAATCAATTGGCTAAATTTAGTTCATTCAAATAAATTTTGCGCTTTTTGCAATATCGCATAAAATGTCCACACGAATTCTTTTCATTGCAACGACGTGAGGCAATTAACAAATAGCACTTTATTTTCTAACAAGTATCAAGTAACTACGTATATATATATATATATATATTTACACTTGTGGAAGCTGATTGCTGACTTTTAATTTAAATTAGATCACTAGTTTTTAAAAGATGATGAGGATAAATCTCTACAACTGTCTCTCGAAATTGACTATCGTTGATGAGAAGAAGCTTAGCAACAGATGCTTAGCAAAAGATTCACGAGGATCAAAATTAAACGTGCCACCACCATTTAATACGGTAATAATTCTTGCATTTACGGTTTCTTCTTGGATGTTCATGTGATGTACAAATACCTTTCAGCTAAAACATGAAATCAATCTTTCCGGCAGCATACTGTATGGCGAGAGTGTTACGTTTGTAGTCATAGTTTGTTGAAAGACACCATGACAGACATATAACAGCTATTAGAGTTTTCGAGTTAATCGAGAACCATGATCAGAATCCACAGTCTCCAACTTCCTCTACAAGGGTTCACTGCTCTGGAAGCAATACTTTTACCAGCTTGCACGAAATTTACAATTCTTTGTATTCAAGGAATGCTACATTTTTTTTCAATTGTTTGTATTCAAGGAATGCTACAATGTTTTTCAATTGCTTGTATTCAAGGAATGCTACAATTTTTTTCAATTCTTTGTATTCAAGGAATGCTACAATGTTTTTCAATTGCTTGTATTCAAGGAATGCTACAATTTTTTTTTCAATTGTTTGTATTCAAGGAATGTTACAATTTTTTTCAATTGTTTGTATTCAAGGAATGCTACAATTGTTTGTATTCAAGGAATGCTACAATTTTTTTCAATTGTTTATATTCAAGGAATGCTACAATTTTTTTCAATTGTTTATATTCAAGGAATGCTACAATTTTTTTCAATTGGTTTGTATTCAAGGAATGCTACAATTTTTTTCATGATCTCTTCTTGTTCTATATGTAGGCGTTCAGATAAAAAGTTTTCGATGATTCAATGATTTCATTTCGAATAGCTAAGCGCGACCTGTGTTGTTATGTACATGCTGTTCTTTACTCTGTCATCAGTCGTGTGCACCACATTTTCAAGTTTCTCTTCCTCTCCACCAGGGTAGGACTCGTTTTCCATCAGTGGAAACTTTCGTAATGCAGAATCACGACAAGTGAAAGCATCGGGAAGAATTAAATCATTCCTTTATAACTGCATTTGTAGATATTTAAAAATATTTATTACATTTTTTCTAACGCAGGTCAGTCAACCAATGCTGAAAGGCCTCAATAATTCCATGTTTTTAAAAATCCTACTACAGTTGCTCTCTCGCTCTTGTTCTCCTAATTACTCTTCCTGCATCCATTAAAGTTAAACAATACCGCTGATACAAGATTCAAGAGATGCTCAACAAAACGCACTTCAAAATGAGCGGGAACTACTTACAATTTTGAAAAAAAAATCCATAAGAGCTTGCTCCTTATAAAAGATTTTCTAAAGTATGAAACTAATTTTAAATTTGCAAGCCATATTTTAATTTCAGCTACACTTTTCTGCTCACATTCATGCTAACACATTAGAAAAAAGTTTGTGTTATAAAACATATTGTGTGGGAGCGTTATTCAATTTAAAATAATGCCATTATTCTCGTCTAGACACAATTGTGTAGCAAATTTTTGTTAAATACAAATATGCTATTAAATGTGTCAGTTTTATTTTAAAATATTTTTGTATTTCCCTTTTATTTGGGTTAAGATTTTCTGTAAATGTTAATAAAAAATAATATAAATAGTTTGT